TTTTCTTCTCCTTACCCTCCTTCACCTTTGTCTCCAAATCTTCCAAATCCATAATCATATCATTCAAGTGTCTCCCCTTGATCAAATGAGCACGGTCATGCTTCTTATAACTCTGACCTGGTATTGTACCCGGCGCGTTACGGATACGAGTTAACGCGAGTGCGCGTTGAGAAATATCCGTGACTTTGTTAAGAACAGATCCAGGATGTGGATATTCTGTTACTATTTCTTCATTTGTCAGTTCTTTTATAGACTTTCGCTGTTCGCCTCTAAGTTTACTGTCGATAAGTTCGTTATGTCTATTTATTTTCTTAATGCGCTCTTCTCGGCTGATTTTGATTGGTTCTTTGGGAGTTGCCGTACGCCATGCGCGTAGAACAAGACGCTTCCAATCTACGGTGGAAATCTGCTCACTTAAGGGACCGGGTTGGAGGATATGGTCTGAATTAACCCAGAGATCGAGTTCGGTGTCTGAAGGAAAATTGCCAGCAATAAAAAGTGAGCTTTTGAGAGCATCAAGAGAACTGTGTCGGAGGACCGCGCTGAAACGATAAATTTCTGTGCCGGTACGATCAGTCCTACCAGGAGGAGGTTTAATTCGTCCGGCTATACCCACTTTGACGTTCTTTTCTTCCTCTCTGAAACGATTGACGCGGGTGATTAGGCCAGAGATAGATCCCCACTGTGAAATTGATTTATGGCGACACCTAGATCTCAAATCATCTTCTGACCATTGGGATGGTTCTGGAGCCAACTTGTGCAGAGGTGCTAATTGCTGCTCTAAAGTGAGGCCCACTTGAGGTGAGGGTTCTCTCAATTCCTCGCCCTTGATTACTCTTTCGAAGTAACCTTTACACTCAGCTCTGACCTCCGCCCTCTGACTAGGAGTATTTGGAACAGGCATTTTCATTCTTACAGACAAACTGTCCACATCTTCATCCACAAAAAAATCTATCAGGCCAAGGATGTACTTTGCTACTAGAACCGACTCCGGTTTTGGATCATCGTCATGAATCTCTCCCCAAAGTTTCTCTAGGAGATGGTACTGTATTTTTCGCATAATTTTATTCCCCATTTCCGTACCGTTGTCGAGTTTTGCTTGTTGTGCTGCGGCAGTTTTAGGTAATTGGAGCAACGAAAGACCATGTTGCAAGCAATAATACCATGCTTGAATTCTTGTCCAATGGCCAATCTCATTTGCCGATGCTTGGCTAAGTGCCTTCAAAACTTTTTCTGCAAGTGTAGAATTCTCATCCACCTTGTCTGCTTCGAGAAATGTTCTCAAACGCTTGCTTGGTCCTGAAAGAGAGTTGTTCAAGCTTCCGCGTTTTTTGACCCTTGGACCTGATGCGAACATCTCAGAGGCTGCTGCTTTTTTCTTCGGCAGCTATTTCAGCCCAAACCTCTTTCCGAGCCTCTTCCACTAGTTTGTTGGGCGGAATGAGTTTTGTCGACCTAGGCTGGAAATCGGTTGTCGGACGATAGCGAACTTCGATTTGCGTTACGATTTCGGAATCATCATCTTGAATGTAGCCTATATCCTCATCTAACATTCCATCATCGTGCGTCTCGATGCTATAAGCAATTACCGTTCTATTGTTATTCCCTGCAATGACCTTATCTTCCCATGAACAGGGCGTTTGTTCTCTTGGCAATCGTTCAAGCTCAGCATCGTAATTTTTATCTATTTCATCATGTATAGTCAAAGTAAAGGACTGCTTTTCTAATTTCATTTGCGCGACGATTTGGTCTTTTACGAGTCCTTGGACAGGCTGGCCCGAAGAGAACTTTGAAATTCTATAGTGGCCTTTCCATCTAGGAAGTTTTGCAATCGGATCCATCCACCAATTTGCCTTCACAGAGATAGCAGCCTCCGCTTTGTCACTGTAATCCAAGTTTAAGCTCTTTTTCAAGGTCGCAGCGAGTTGATGTAGAGGGACGCCGCGTTGATTAGCTTCCCACCAAGTCTGCCGAAATGTGTTTGAGAGATAACTGACAGGAATTGCAAAGAGTTTTTCGTATAATGGCCGCTTGTGTTCTTTTTCATTGCCAAATAACCTATCGGTTTTAAATAAAGGTTGCCAATATAAAGACCACCCCAGACTACCAAATTTGGCATCTTGGTCATAAGATTCGCAGAATTGAGGATGGAATCCATTAAAAATCCAGCTCACGAAAGACCTTCCTAGTTCGCTATCGACGTCTTTCTCAACGTAAGGCTCATCACCAGAAGGTGGGTTGAACGACCGGTAATCTTGGAGGAATATTGCATGTCCAATTTCATGAATCATTGTAATTGCTGCCATAAACTGTGCTTTAACGCGAATTTCGGAATCAACCGGGTGGGTACGCATTGGTACCAATAGTAAATCCATGATTGCAATAACGAGTGGCCGTCGTACCCGGCCTGCTTGAGCTGCTTGTAAATCCGATTCCCTGACCTCATTCTCATCGAGTTCGTGAAAGTCTGCTTCTCCGTAATCTACTATTCTTGTGATACCATTCCAATTCCGAGTCGCATGCATTCTATCATTCAATCTCCATTTGATACATCTTGCGATGTCTTCAAGCTCCACCTCTGCTGCTTGAAGGTCCTTGAGCAAAACTGTGTGTTTCAACGGAATTACTTGTGGGCAGACAAGATGGCTATGTTCAGCGTGCGATACTTCTTGCGGCGAGCCAAAGATGATGCTTGATGGCAAAAAACTTGCTAAATACGGCATTCCGACTTCTAAAAGCCGTGTGGCAAGTCGCATACTTGGCATTAAGAGCTGGTAGTCCTCATCAGAGATTTCCCATCTGCTGCGTGCAAACAATGGATGGACAGGGCCAGTCAAACTTGGAGCTGGTCCTCGAGGTGCCACTAGATTCATCAGTTTAGACAAGCAAGACTGCAATTGAGAATGACACTTACACATAGCTCCTCCAACTGCTAGACTTGTAGGATCCCATGGCTTTGATACTCCGCCTTTCACCACAACTTGTTGTGAATTGTCTCCTGCCATAATGTCGACAGCAAAATATAGATTTCAAGGGCAACTTTCCACTATACTAAAACCTCGATGATATTTGTTAATACAAGGCAGAGAGTGTTAGACATGGAGCAGTCGTGTTAGCATTCCTCGAATAAGCGCACATGAAACTAAGAATGTAGATGCTGTTGAGGTTAAAAGAGAAATCTGATTTCATTGTTCTCCAAGAACCACAGAGTTCTTTCATTTCCGATTCCTTTGCAGTATTCTTCAACACTTCAAAGACTTTCTTTGATGATTTTGGGTATAACAATCGTTTTCGGCCATTTTATGAGTACTCTTCCCATGTGGAAAGAAAACCAATGCTCACAGCTATGTTAAAAAGCGAACGATTTCAAACAATAAGACTCATCTAAGTCCAGCGATACTATATGAGGAAGTTTGATCATTATTCAAGTGATGATAACAAATTTCAAGCAGTGATGATATCGTCGGTCGGAGATGAATGAACATATCTGAAGTATCTTGAAACCTGCCTTCGTAATAGGTTAGTTGATCGTTGATCGTTGATTCTATCTTGAAGAAGATTAGATTCTTTCTGCTGGAGACCTTGGGCACGGATTTGTATGGTCAAGATAGTCGGCACTTGATTGTGTCAACAAAGCTTGAGTTGAAATCGGAAGATCCAGTTGATAGTCAATACTTCGAGACGAGCTAGAATTTCCAGCTGATAAGCTTCAAGACATGGTTATGTAATCTTGAATGCCGGTACTCGAGTACATTTTTGTGCTTAGACCATAAACACGGAGAAGCTTCCTAAATGGTATTAAGTAGTACCAAGTTGTTGCTGACCATGACGGCGGTTGCCACACCCTCACGGTTAGTATGAAAGTGATAGACAAGGCAGAGTGGCTGTTGTCTGTCTTTTTAGCTTACTGATGGCTCAATTTCTATACCGAGTAGGTACCTAGTCGCCTGTACCGTATAGTTCATGACTTTGCCATGTACATTGTGTACACACCACATGTTCGCAATCAAAACAAATAATAAATATCTTCATAATGTCTTCATAACATACGTAGCATACATAATGTGTGTGTGTGTGTGTACCTAGGTATAAATACAATTCAAGTCTCTTATATTCGTCACTCGGTTGCTTGCACTCGCTTTCCCTTTTTGTTTCTCTCTCTCAAAATCATCGACCTTGCTCCCTGCCGTTACTCCTTTATCAACAGGGCTCTATCCTTATAACCCTATCCGGGGATCACGTATCTAGCTTCCATTCCATCCTTTCTGTTATGATCAAAGTCCAAACTGTCCAAGCTGTCCAAACTAGGCTCCGGTCTAGTCTCGTTCATATAGTTTAACAATAACAAATAACTCTTGAGTCTCGAGTCTTGAAAACAAGCAAGACAGGTCTGAGGTTCTTTCCTTCATTCAGCAGTCTTGGCAATCCATTGAATCCAAGCTTTAAGGATACCCGACCACAACCTAACAATCATACCAAGACAATAGCAAAGAACACTGACAGCTTCCTTCCAAAAGCAAATGAGAAGGTACTGGTATAACATGTGGTCACCACAAAAAATCAACATGTTCGGTTCGCTCTCAAGGTAGGATTGATTGATCGCGTACGAGCCCTGTCTACAAAACCCATTTCTTATCCGCTGCGGTATTTTTTTCTTACTTCATAGTCAGTTCAGTCCTGTTTGCACATTGCATCCATCGGATTCTTGCCCGTATTTTTACCCTCATTGCCTTTTCAAGTTTTTATTTTCTACCCTCTGGATTGGACGGAGTCTTCACCGATCATCAGGTTTCCCCATATCCCACCTTTTTTGTCTTAAACCGTTATACCGCTGATCGATCTTCAACGTTTTCCATACATCGATATTTTGTACATACATCCCTTAAATGCATAATTGCCGATGATAATAATTCCCCAGCCCCCGCAGAGTCTTTACTAGAAGCTCTTCAATTGATTTACACTTGGAAACCCCATCTGCGCTACCTTTTTAGAGGTCAATAATGAGTTTGCCTCGGGATCTCGAGAAAGGAACATTGGCAGAAGAGGAACATGATCAGGAACATGAAATTGGAACGAAAACAGAATCGACTGCATACCAATTCGACAATTCGAGAAACCCTTCGCCGAAGAATGATGGTTCTGCAAATGCATCCATCGCCGACCGAGATTCGAATCTTGAAGCAGTCAAAACAATGGATGAAGGCCCCATCGATGATCTCGAGAGACAAAAGGTTCGATACAACCACTCGCATTGCGCATTTACGAAATACCTACTAACATCCCTTTCCCATTTAGACAACCACCGAATCAATAAAAGTCGGCCCATCTTCCCATCGCGCACATCCAAATTCCGACTCGAACGATAAAACCAGCACGAACTCGAAATCCTCCAGCGGATCCAGACTCGCCCGCATAGCCCATCGATCTCATACTCCGCGCGCCAAACTTCCACCGCGACCTATTCCAGTCTCCAATCTCGCAAACGGTATCGTAGGATGGGAAAGCCAGACCGATCCCGAAATGCCTTTGAATTTTCCGGAAACGAAGAAATGGGTGCTGACGGGTTTACTGGCTAGCATTACTTTTATATCTCCGCTCGCTTCCAGTATGTTTGCGCCCGGTGTAACATTTGCAGACAAGGAGTTCCATAATTCCAGTCTGATATTAAGCTCTTTCACCGTGAGTATCTTTGTCTTGGGATATGTCGTTGGGCCATTAATACTTGCGCCTTTGTCTGAGATGTATGGGAGAAGATATGTTCTTACAGGTGGTAATATAATATTTTGTGTATGGCAGATTGGATGTGCATTGGCACCTAGCTTGAGTACATTGATAGGATTTCGATTTATGGCTGGATTGGGTGGTTCGGGTTGTTTAACCATCGGTGCTGGAATGATTGCGGATTTATTTCATGCGGATAGAAGAGGATTGGCGACTTCACTTTTCAGTCTGGGTCCTTTGTTTGGTCCAGTTATTGGTCCAATAGCTGGAGGTATTTTCCCCATTCATTATACCCATCAAAGTACAGTACATCTAACCAATCTCCAGGTTTCGTAGCCCAAAGAATCGGCTGGCGTTGGGTATTTTGGATTCTTTTCATTGCCGGAACCATCATAACTATCGGTATCGAATGTCTCAACGTAGAAACCAACCCACGTCTCCTCATAAAACGCAAAGTTGCGCGTCTCTCCAAAGAACTCAATCGATCTGATCTCCGCAGCGTATACGATCCAAGCAATTCAGCACATCATTCAAACGCTTCTGTTCTAGCAAATGCCATGATTCGGCCCCTGAAAATGTTAATTTTTAGTCCTATTGTGTTTATTCTGAGTTTGTATATGGCGGTTGTTTATGGACTTCTGTATTTATTGTTTACTACTATTACGACGGTTTTTACGGATAAATATCATTGGGCGCCAGAATTAGGTGGATTAGCTGTGAGTATATCTCTTCATCTCTTTCACCTCCAAAACTTCCATCCTCCCGTTTACCGCAAGTCTAACTGTCAACTAGTACATAGGTCTAGGTTTTGGTTTCTTCCTTGGTCTCGTAGTAGTAGCTCGTATATCGGACGTTACGGTAGTCCGCATGACGAAAGCAAATAATGGGATCTTTGAGCCTGAAATGCGATTACCGGCTTGTATATTTTTTGCTTGCTTTATACCGATTAGTTTTTTCTGGTATGGTTGGAGCATTCAGGGCGGCGTTCATGTAAGTACTCCTCCTGCCTACCTTTTCACTTCACTTCACCCTTCTTCGAAGAGTCTAACATCCCCAGTGGATCGTTCCTATAATCGGCCTCGTCCCCTTCGGTTTCGGTATGATGGGTATCTTCATTCCAATTCAAACATACGTCATCGACAGCTTCCCATCCTTCGCTGCGTCAGGAATCGCAGCATTAACAGTATCACGGTCGTTATTCGGAGCATTTTTGCCACTTGTAGGACCGGCTATGTATGCAAAATTAGGTTACGGGTGGGGAAATAGTGTTTTGGGATTCATTGCACTGGCGTTAATTCCGGCGCCGATGATAATTTATAAATTTGGAGGGAGGGTGAGGAAAAGGTTTCCTGTTAAGCTTTAAGGGGAGAGGGAAGAAAAAGAGGAGGAAATTGAGGAAACTGAGGTACGAAAAATAATAAATTGTGTGTGTGTGTATCTGATATACAACAAAACACAAAGCACACATGACACGACGGAACAAAACAGAATATTAATTCCTCATGACGGAAAATCATGAAAGGAGATGAAAACGAGATGAAGCGAAACATCCATCAACCTTACAAAATAACACCCCCCACACACATAATTTCGAAAAAATTAGCGAGCATAAGCGATGGAGTTATGATATTCATTGGTTATTATTTGGTTAGGAATTGGGTGTTAATATTATTATTATTCTATGGGTACTTGCTGGTTGGTTCAAGTTCAGGTCGGGATTGATTGATTGGTGCGCTTGGTGCGTCTGGAGGCAACTTACTATGAAAATGAGGATTTGGAATTTTGGGGAATTCGAGTACTTACTGAGTACTTACTGAGTACTTACTGAGTATTGAGTATTGAGTATTGATTGATTAATGGGGGTTTCTTATGATATGATTGCGTTGATTGGAGTTGGAAGAGGATTGAAGATTGAAGATTGAAGGATGGATCCTTTCTTGTTGGCTGTTGGTTGGGGGTTGGGGTTAGAATGAGGGTGAGTGAGGGGGGATGTGCAAGAGGGGGATGGGGAGAGAGAGGAGGCCAAAGAAAATTGTATATAGATTATGTGTGGATGTGGGAGTGAGAGTGGGTAAATGATTGATGGTTGGTACGTATATATTACACAACCACACATATGATGTTGGTTATATCGGTTTTAATAAACTCGATATGAAGTTTACTCATGAGTGAGTGAGTGAATTGGAGAGTCAAGTTCATTCATTCTTCTATTCATTATATTATACTATTAATTAATCAACTTGTTACCTAACTTTCCCCCCTTATCCAAAAAAATACCTATCTACTGAATGATTGATGGATTCCTCCAAACAAACATTCAATTACATCTTTTTCATCCAAACCATTCTCACTTCCCAAGATATGTATGTGTATATGATATGTATCACATATACGTCATCAAAAAAGGAAAAAAGTTTTTGTTGCATATCGCATAACTTCATGACGTCGATGACGATGATGACGATAGACGAATAAAATGACGTCGGTGACGTAGCTTTTTGACATGTTATGGATTTTGGGATTTTGGGATATATGAAACAACGCCCATATTTTATTTTTGAGATATCTAGGTATTGAGATTGGGATTGAGAATGAGATGAAATGGGATTGAAATTAATGCGTGAAGAGGTGCGAAAGAAAAGATAAAAGAGAATATTACAGATACGATGTGAATAGATAGTAATTGATAACTTGATATGAAATCTTACATTTCGATCTCACCACCACGAGAATACCAAAAATTAAGAGGAGATGTTTAAGGGTCGGCTATGGATACTATTCTTCTGTTCTCTAGGTTTCGGATATTTCTCTTTGAGTTCGTTTGTTTTGGTCTGATATGACGACTTCTACTCATGTTCACTTACTTCTCGCCCAGGGATTTCGGACCAAAAGGGGTATGAATATAGCTACATACCTTATTTTTGAAGAACAACTGGATGGAATGGAATGGGAAGAAAAGACGGTACAGGGTACATTGATTCCGAGTGGCCAAATAACTATATAGAAACAAAAATGATAAAAACTACCCTGGTAGAATTTCTCAAGACAAGTAGTGTGTATATAAAAGCGTTTAATTGCATTCTCTCGCTGATCACTTCCTACTAGCTGTCTAAATGAATAATCAACACGTTTTGTATGAATACATTCGGAAAGATAGTGGGGATGAGTCTGTATTCCTGTGCATTTATTGCATGTTTTGAAGAAATACAAGCAGGCGTATTCACAGCGGGTATGTGTATTGAGTGATACCTTCATCGACAAGTTGGATGGAAAGCAAGTAAAACAAAAAAGATCAGAAGATGAAGACGAGGGCAAGATAGAATGAAGAGTTTAAGGATCGCTAACAGGCCAAAACTTCAAGGACTATTGCTTCGACTGTTGAAGTATTGAATTAGCCGATAAAATTGTAGATCAACCACACGGGTGGAAAAGTTTCACCCCTTTTAAGACTTTCAGATCCACCGAGTATCAGGTAAATCTCCTATTCCCTCCAGTCCACCCTTCCGCCACTGTAGGTGTTCCCATAACTAATGAATAAAAATAGGGAGCACGATAACTTTGATAGTGCAACACTGCGAGAATATTTGTCCTGGTCATAGATATCTTTAGATGAACACCGGACACATTGATCCAATGTGATCACGTTCAAATTCTCATCAATAATCTGTCCCTAATGCTTTCCCAACATGATATCTTCCTCTTCAGATTGTTTATTGTGAATTCGCCTCCCATAATGCAGATCTGCCTTTTTCTATTTCGTAGCACATCAAATGACCTTGCCGTATTATCAGCAATACGCCTAAGCTGTATCACCGCAAAAATTTAACAAAATACCGAGATCTCCAGTGCATATAACCCCACATAATCCCACTGCAAGGTATGAGAGGCAGTGGAACTGTAGACTCGTGATGAGGAGAATAGATTTTGCAAAAGTGTCGACTTCGACATTTCCGGGGGCAAACAGATCTAAGAGTATGGAGGGGGGGGGAAATGCAATATTTTGGGTGGGGTGAATTTGTGATTCAATGAAACTCTTGCATTACCATCTTAGGTAAAGAAATACGAGAAAATGGACTACCATCTTTATATTTGTATATCGCTTTGAACGCATCAGATACGAGGGTGAAAATAAAAGCATGAAACCTCAGCCTGAGTAACATCAAATGGTATCCAGATTTTAGAATTGCAAGCAATTTTTTTTAAAAAATCTGTCCATACATTTTCAGTTGATTGGAAATTTGGTAGCGAGTTCTTGAGATGGAATAAACGGCGTTTGAGCTTGAGGTTTAAGATTATTTCCAGCTTTCGAACGACGATGCAGGAGATCCTTGGTCATACATCAAGCTGTGAAATATTATGCAGCCATACTTGCATTTGTATTATCTCGATGTAAACCCAGTCAAGATCCAAAGTCTCGTGATTTTAAAAAAATCCAACGTTTCAAAATAATATGAAGTGGCTTCATCACTAAATTGGGACATCCGACAATGGAATGAGATAAAACCCAGTGACATTCCGAGATCCAATGTCGATGTGCAATAATAATAGTAACGTTGACACAAGCTGATAACAGATGTTGCTGATTGAAGAATGCGCGAGGAGATAGAGAAAAGGTGACAGGATCGCAAGAACTCATATAGATGTGGAAGAAAATATGATAGAAATAAAGTCAACACTTACTTGGTGCACAGCATATGGGCCATCCAAAGTATTAAGAATATGTGAGTATGAGCTGTCATTCTCTCGGTTCACCTCCCCAAATTTTTCATGATTCTCGGTCAATACTTTCCGAGAGAAGTGGTTCGCATGCAAGTGTTTATATATTCCGAGGCAAGTAGAAAGGAGGTTGCCACACATCAAAACTACAGTAAGCTCGAGCATCGCCGGTGTCAGTAGTAGACTAAAATCTTGTCCAGATATCGTCTCATGATTCTCTCATGTTATGTAGTGGCTACATCATCGGAAGACATTCCCATAGGTGGAATATACTCCGTATGTGTCAATGTCGAATCATTTTGGTCGATTGGTAGATAGCCATTAGCATTGTGGGAAGAATTTGGACGGAAGTGCAGTACGAAAGCATTCATCTCTTCATTTGCATGAGAGCATCCATGGGAATATCGTGAGGAATGCATTCGTGCGGTGTCACCTGTCACCGGTATCACAACTCACGGCTCACCAAGAGCTACTTTATTGACCACGGATTGCTTTGGCCACTAGCTGAACTGAACGATTGTAGAAATTCATACTACTTTACAGGGTAAGAATTGCCGTATTGTCATCAGAAAATGTTAGTCAAAGAAATCGCAATAGAAGTATTCCATGACTTTAGAGAATTTTGACTCGGAAATTCAGAAGTTGCTGAGTGGAGTCGCGGTGAGAAGAGTGATATTGGATAAGAGGAGTAGAGTTTCGGGTCGGAATATCTGGAAGATTCTATGCTAAGACCAAAGAAGGAAAATATGTCATGAGGAAAGGATTATAGCCGTGTTTGAGGTGTGTCTGGATAAAAGATCTAAAGAAGGTATCATCAGTTGATCTGTGCGCCGTATCAATGCACACTTTGGTCCCTGCAAAAGCGGTTTCGGATGTCTTAGATTCGCCCCATTAAATTTATACAGGGGGTGCACCGTTCTCGGTAAACTCATTCCCCGCCTTGACATGGAAGAAACGGTGGGTGGGATAAGGAGAAAAAAAAGTATTTTCATACCTTCACTCAAAACAACCTCAACTCTCAAACCTCGTATGAAAACATGCTTTTGAGTGAGTTAGTTATGACGACTTGTGTTTGATTGATTGACTTGTCAGGAAGTTTGAATTCATTCTGAAGGTAAATATACGAGTAGATGTTAGATGGATGGTAGATGTTGGATATTAGAAGGATGTATGGTAGGTAGGGTAGGTAGGGTAGCAGAGAAGATGAGAGGATGAGATTGTCCAATACCTAAAGTCTCAATAAATAGCTAATCGCACCATTCTCATTCGATGGTTCACTTGTGCTTTCGTATACAACTTTAGTGTGTATACGAGTAGGTAGTAGGTATTGAGATTAGGTCTTGGGTGCCGGCTTATTACTTTCCATCTTCCCCATGTTCCGAATATCTTTCGTTAGGTTACATACATGATACTTGATACGTGAACTACATGAAGCACATTAGCACATTCTCCAGTGCTGCTATATTCGGGCAAAGCAGGTCAGTCACAGGTGGAAGATTGACAACACTACCTAGTACCTAGGTAAATAGGTAGGTACTTTACTTGACCTAATTCCCTCATCAATTGCATTATATCTTTCACATCACAAGAGCATGGTCATAGCTGTACTCCATTGATTCTTTCTTTGCTGTAGGTACCTAGGTAGAATTGAAAGTACCGAGCGGAGTACAGAGTACGTGACATTTTGATAGTCGACTTGACTATTGTGCAGATTGACTCATTAGCCTCTTCAATACTTCCTTCTAGCGTTCCAATGTTCACCAAGTGCTCAATTCATTAATTTCGTTCACCTCGATTCATCCAATGATTGAGACGAATAAGTCTAGATGAGAGTCTAAAATGCTTAGAATCCTTGTCTGCATGAAATAATACGACTACCAGTGGACTACTCCATATATCTCAGCTAATATATTACACATATCATTCCACACTAGCGACATCCACTAGCAATCTCCACTAGCAAGTCGGCTACACCTTATCATGCATGTGCATTAGCGGTAGCAATTATCGGCCGGCCTTTCGAGCTATTTATTGCTCCAGTAGATCTTTCATTGTATTTATCGATCTATAGGAACACCAATCCAAATTGGATATTGCAGAGCCGCGGGATAAATCTCCGAAAAGGTTTGGTAGCAACAACGACAACAAGAACAATCTTTTTCTGCCCCCCCTCCCCACCACAAAAACCAAGGAAAACAATACAATATACACGCTCTCAGAAATTCAAAAGGTAAGGATAAACGAGAGATATCATCTCTGCATGCACAGCGGTAAGGTACCAGGTCAAGTAGGTAGGGAAAATTTATTTATCTGCATGTGGTTCTTAAAACGCTCAGTGCGGAAGCTTGAGCGCAAACAGATGGGTAGTCCGACATATAGAGTGAACACTTCCTTCCCCCTCCATCTTCACTTGGCTCTCAAACGTTTAATTCTGTCTCTGAGAAATCTACTTTTCCGTTTCCGCAAACTCAATCAACATTATCATTACCTAAAATCCTAATAGCATCTTCACCTATTGCGTCGTACTTCCCATATCCCCTCCAATCTTCTCTCCCTTTCCTATTCGTCTTTCAGGACGTCGATAGGAAAGTTTCTACAACTCTCAGATTGAACATCTCTCTCTACTAATAAACGTTCAATCTTATATCGTCATCGAGAGCCAGAAAAGTCATATCTGGCTCACGAGCAATGCCCCGAGGAATTCGGAATTCTCGACAGGATCCCGATAAATTTCCTACCACCCAACTCTTTCTCCTTGGTAAGTTTTGTTTCCACATTCCATGACTGCGCCACGCACACGATCAATTCGAAATACCTTATTAACATCGTCTTAGCAATTGTCCGTCTCGCGGAACCTATTGCCCTCACCTCTATCTTCCCTTACGCGTGGGCACTCGTAAAGAAATTCAAGGTCGGCAACGAAGATGATGCTTCTTTCTATGCGGGCCTTCTCATCTCAGCCTTTGCGCTGGCAGAATCTTTGACGGGCATGTACTGGGGTGGATTATCTGATAGAATCGGACGAAAGCCAGTATTGCTAGCAGGATGTTGCGGAACGATGTTGAGTATGATTATGGTTGGATTTGCGTCGAACATTTGGGTCGCGCTCCTCGGCAGAGCTCTTGGAGGCTTCTTGAATGGAAATATAGGCGTCATTCAGACTATGGTTGGTGAAATGGTCACGAAGAAAGAACATGAGCGTAAGTTTGATTACATTCCGACGATTACACGGAGAACCTGAACTAATTTCTTCTTGACAGCTCGAGCATACTCAGTCATGCCATTTGTTTGGAGCATAGGTACTATTATCGGTCCTGCGATCGGTGGCACATTCGCAGATCCTACATCGACCTTTCCAAACATTTTCTCACCGGATGGTATTTTCAACACATTCCCATATTTGCTTCCAAATTTGATGTGTGCTGGTCTACTATTCATCAGTATTCTAGCGGGATACTTCCTCCTTCAAGAGACACATCCGGATATGCAACCCCGGGTTTCTCTACCAGATGATACATACCATTCCGAGGAAACCCCATTGATGGCCACTGCCGATGCCATTAAAACACCTGCAGTCGACTTGCGCGCCGAAACTTACGGAACTTTCGAGGGCAGCGTTGACAGTGAGTGGCGAAACACGCCCACTAAATCTATCCCTCCCCAAATTTTCAACAAAAATGTTGTCGCTTTGATTATCGCATTGGGAATATTCACATATCATTCCATGACATATGATCATTTACTACCCATTTTCCTCGAAGATACAAAGGGTCCAAGGGAAAGCATATCCATCATGACTGGCGAATTTATGATGCCTGGAGGTCTTGGTTTATCTGTCCAACAAGTTGGTGTAATCATGTCAATAAATGGCATTATTGCATTGTTTGTTCAAGCGGTCATATTTCCTTGGGCTGCGGAATTTCTCGGCACTTACAAACTCTTCATTGTAGTCAGCGTGCTACATCCAATTGCGTATCTTATGGTACCTATCCTTGTCTATCTTCCCGCTTCATATCTCTATGCTGGTCTTTACACTACTCTATTCGTCCGTAATCTTCTTTCAATACTAATATACCCCGTTCTTCTCATCCTCATCAAAGAAGCTACGCCCTCTCCAAAAGTTCTCGGAAAAGTCAATGGCCTTGCAGCATCAGCCGGTGCAGCTTGTAGGACTGTAGCTCCACCTGTTGCGGGATACCTGTATGCGCTTGGTAGCAAGACAAATTTCACAGCGCTGGCTTGGCTTGGAAGTGCGCTTGTGGCAGTGGTGGGAGCGGTTCAATGTTTTATGGTCAAGAGAACGAGAAGGGATGAGAGGGTTGAGGAAGAGGGAGATGAATGGATTGGTGTAAGGAGAAGAGATAGCAAAAACAAGATGGTTCCTGCAATTACAGTAATTGAGGTTGATTCGACTTCTTCATCGGAAAATAATTCGGATTCGGAGTCGGTACGGGATGAGTAGGGGATAATGTTAACGGGGAAGAAAAATGGAAAAGAAAATGAGTGTACGAAAAGATCGACGAAAACATGATGCATGGATGGCGTTGGATTTGAGGGTTGGGAAAATTCTAGAAATCGAAGGCGTATTGGTGTTTGTATATGATAGCGTTTAGCGGCACTGGGCTGGCGTTTTTGAACTGGTGAGAGGGTCGATTGGATTGGATAGGATTGGATAGGAGATTAAAACTAAAGATGCTTAATGAATAGAATATGAAAATAAAATTTAAGATGTTTATTGAATTGTTTGATTTATATGAGTCGGTTGTCTTAAGGGGAGGGGCGTTTAACTATTGTGTTGTGAAGGAGACAGATGTAAGAATTCATATTCACAGTGTTGAGATGTTATAATATACCTATATATATACCATTAGTCTCTGAGGTGTAGATGTATATACAAACATGCATGCATGTATGATGTATGATGTGTGTATGTATGTATGGCACTTGATAAGGAGTTGAGAGTGAGAGTGAGAGTGAGAGTGAGAGTGAGAGTGAGAGTGAGAGTGAGAGTGAGAGTGAGAGTGAGAGTGAGAGTGAGAGTGAGAGTGAGAGTGAGAGTGAGAGTGAGAGTGAGAGTGAGAGTGAGAGTGAGGTTTAAATAAGCTTTTTGGGGATTTAGAGGGATGGGTAGGGCGATGGGGTGGGGGGTTATGAACGTAGATGTGGATTATGGGTATGGGGATGGGGAAGTTGTGCTGTGAGGTTTAGAGTGCAGATAGATGGGGAGGGAACGGGGAATGGGGAATGGTGGAGTATCGACAGTCACGTCATTCGGTTAGAGGTTGCGTGATTGAATTTTGAATTTTGAGTTTGGATTGTTTTATTTTATTTTTGGAATTTGGGGATGGCAAGCCGGGATAGGGAGTGTGGGCACTGGGGATGGGAATGGGGATGGGGATGGGATGAATGGGGTATCTATTTTAATATTATTTTTGAGGAGAATACTGTGTGGGTTTTGAAGATGTGGTGGTATGATAGAGTAGTGTAGTCAGTACAAAAGAAAACTAAGTTATAATCATACCCAATATTCTCACTAAAATGTTCCTTTTTCAGAAAATGTGAAATTTTATCATTATTTGAGTAATAAGTTGAGAAGAGAATTTCCTATATATGCGTCTAGCCCATTACTATATCTGTGTACCCACTACCTGTTATCATCCATCACGAATGAGTATTACAAGAATACCAAGTATTCGATACAGGGAGCCAGTTGATGATATGCGACTCCAATCTTCGCTGCACAATGTCCATCCTGCTCGCATTTGTGGTGGTAAAGAGGGTTTCCAGAAGATTGGAGTTGGTGAATCAATCCATTTATAACAATAGCTCCGCCGCCTCAACTCCGACTCCAACTCCAACAGCATCCATTAATTCCCTCCGATCTCCACAACATTACAAGATACGAGCAAAAGCATCTCCGAAAAAGCTGCGTTGCATCTCCCCGACCTTTTCAATCACCATGAGTCCAACGTCGCCAACCGTGAATGCATGCAATCAAGATGATTCAATCGCATTATGCACTTCCTGACTGCTAGGCTCCAATTCCGCATCCCCTCTCTCGCCCTCACGCACATCAATCAACCTCCCTTCTTCCTTCTTTCCCTCCTCATTCTTTCTTCTCTCCTCCTCTTCCTTAAACTCCGCGAAAGCTTTCAATGCGCCCCCGAAATTCCACCTAATACTACAATTCGGGCTTTCTTTGCGTGTGCAAGACACAATCTCTTCCGTCTCGATACCGTGTTTCTTTAGTAGGAGACCCATATCTTTAAAGGCTTGTTCGAGTTCCTTGGGTTCGATCTTGACTTCAACATATCCCTGTTCTATCTATTCGCTGAGGTATTTGTTGATTCGCCATTTGGAGAGGCTCAGGCCTAATAATAGACCTGATGCAACGGGAGTTATCGCGACAAAGTAATGGCGGGGGTCGTTCTTAAAGCGCTGGGCAAAGCGTTGAAGGTGGGATTTTAGTGATGCCATGATTAATCGAGGGGTTGATTGATTGATTGATTGATTGAAATAATGAAAGAAGGAAGATTCATAAAGGAATTGAAAAACATTTTTCGAGGTGAGATAACTATTAGGTGGTCAAATGAAATAAACTACTATTACCTAAGTCATCTGGTCCTACTATCGTCATAACAAGTGATCTTCGGGGCCTAATTGTTGCACTAGGTAAAATATATTAAACGAATTCACCCGAATTTTTAAAAACATCTTGGATCATAATTGATATAGCCAATTCAAGGGTTTTCAGACCTTTCAGTGTTGCGAAAATATATTCAAAAGGCTATTGAATACCACATAAGCGAGAATCAAATGAGCCTGATATTGGAAAGATAATGATGTCGCACAGTTCATTGAGCTTACACAGCTGCAGAAACTTAAGGCAAGTTTATCTTAGACTAGGTAAGTCCCGTCACCTCGGTATATAGCTCTTATGTCATGCTGTATTGAAATCCCATACTTTCAGTGGCTTTTCCCTCAAGTCCGAGGGTTTACTCGTAGGCGCACACATTCATGAAAAAATTGGCTTTTGGTTATCCCAAGGATGAGCTGAACCTATTCGGATTATACACGTAATCCCACTATATGGTCTTCAAATTTGAAAAAGTTTTGACTCCGTACCCCCAGAGGTAGTCTGTGAGTGGAAATATGAGAATTGCGAATTTGGTGGTTGCTCTCACTTGAGGCATATCAGGTAGTGTTGTTAATGCAGATACCCGTCTAGAATAAAGTCGCCCGAATGTGTACCAGATATCAGATTCATTCAATTTCTGTGGTATCATATTCTATTGGCTTCAGGCCTACGACGCAGAGAAAAAATATGCGTATACTGTGCGTGAAGTTTCACACAGGCTAAATAAGCCATGATAAGATGAAAGAACAGTGTGCAAGCAACCACAACGAGGTAGCTAGCTATCGTATATATGCTATAGCTCCGATCATATGGAAGTGTTCAAAGCACACATATACCATAAATTAGAGCCAGGTTGGAAAGGTGTGGAGATGTAGAGGATAATAATGTACCAAAATCCTGAAGATAGCAATATCGATAGAAATCGATCACACAACTTTTTTCTGCGAGATGCAAATGAAAGTGGTGACCTTAGGAAATCATGTGGAAGCGTCTCCTCCCCATGGCCCTCGTAGCACTCCTGAAAAGAGCCTTCTGACAGAAAATGACGGAAAGTGTAGAAGAAATCTGAAGGCCAGGCTCCCCCAAAAGAAATCCCAGACAATGCGAATATATCCGATGTATGTAAACAGCTTCCAATTATTTTACCGATCACTATCCGTAAAAAGTAGAGTATCGTTACTCAGGCGCAGACCCACAGCTTTTCTTGGAATTCCTCCCTCAGTTCCCCGGGTCTCCAGTTGCCACAGTCTGACCCTTAGTATGTGCAATTTCCGTTTCCCCCCATAATTGGCCATGATTCCTCTAAGGTCTGTATAGACACCTCTCAAGCTTCAATTATTGCTTCAAAATTGATTCCTCTCTCTCTGCTGCGCTGTGCCACTGTTTACTTGGTCTGCAAAACATCCATCCTCACAACAATTTCAGTTCTCTTTCTCAACCACCGTAAACTTAGGCATCTTTGCTTTATCCTGCTCTGTAGGTTCAAAGCCAAGCTTCTTTTCTGCCGTATCAGACAAATAGAGACCGATTGTACCCCAAGCAATGAAGCTTGCGCCTATCATTGCGCGGGTGCGCGGAGGGAGTGCTCGAAAGGATCTGTTTGTTGAAGAAAGATTAGTTGAGAATAAAAACGGGAAGCAGGGTATGAGAGTCCAATAGGAGACAAGGAGAGAACATACGATAATAACGACATCTACGAAGGGGGAACGAGACTATTTACAGAAACGGTCGTTTAGAATTTGTGGTTATTGAAATATTGAAATTGAAAATCGATATTCTCGGGTTATTCCGAGACACTTCGGACACCAAAATTGAATCCGACATCCCGATGATGGTAGGGGTATTCAAAGCTATGCCAAACTAAAGGCGTACTTGCATCGGCGCCCCCGCGCAAATCCAGTCTGTTGATTGTCTTGGTATTATATCATGATCTGCTATTATAAAAGTTTTGTTACGAGCGCCAGGAGTCTTAGAAGATAAGTGTCAGCTGATGTTGAATCAAAGTATTCGATTAAGTATTGATCAATCCCTGAGAAGCCTTCATCGAAAGTTCGCATCACCTCCAGTCGTCACAAATGGCAGATATTAAAGCCCCTCCAACTCTCTCCTCAGGTTTCTTGTCACTACCTGTCGAGCTCATGAGATTTGTGATCCTTTATATGGACCTACCCGCCATCAAGTCTACCCGTTTGACTTGCAAGTTTCTCTCCTTTCTCAGTACACCATACCTCATCCTTCCCAAATTCCATGGTTTCGCCCATCGTCCCGATCTCAATCGTCTTCTTCATCTATGCCGTCATCCGATTTTTTCCTCTTGTATTCAATCTATCGAACTCAATCTTGGCGACATCGATGAATTCCATGCAAGGCATAATGCATATCTCTTCAAATCAGATCCCAATATATTCAATCCAGAAACTCGTGCCGAACTAACTGAAGAAGCTTGGTTTCGATATTCTAGTCTCAAGTTCTTGAGAGAGGAATTCAACTCCCGAATATGTGATTCAGATCTGTCTGAAGTCTTCCGTTCCCTGCCTAATTTATCAGCCCTGTCTGTTTCTATGGTCAATTTCCCCTTACCCGATGAACCGGCACTCTCTCTACTAGCATCAGTTTGGAGAGTTCCTTCGACGAGATTGCTACGCAGAGAATCGACCAAGGAGCTTTTCACGACTATTATAATTTCATTACTCCGCAGTATTGAGGTTCTGAAGCTCAGAAAACTGTCTCACGATTGCTTGCCATTTGAGTTTTTCGCGCAGAACAAGGTTCTATTCGAGTCTATAACACCTATTTTTTATAATCTTACAGACTTACGCTTAGCTCTGGATTATAGCGATATACCTAATAACTTAAGTTTCCAAGAGGTATTTGCGAACATCGCTACATGTTTGTACGCTGCTACGAATTTGGAGAGTTTCAATCTGTGCTTTCGGTCAAAGCGTAAGAGTGATATTACACCACTGCTTGAGGATTTTTTGTCAAAATCTAAAGAATCGAATTTTACTTTACCTCCCCTTCGAAGCCTACATATAGAAGGCGTGTCAAGTAGATTCCTTGCCATGGAAAGCTTTCTTATATCGTTGGCGTCTACTCTCGAAGTGATAGAATTTGGAGGAGATGGATGCCATGAGCCCAATCGATTTTCTAACGGAGGTATACATTTACTGGATGGGAAATTTCGAAGGTTGTTTGAGAATGTGGAGAGAGCTATTGGAGACTCATTGACGAGATTTGTTGTTAGGGGTGATTTGGTGGAGATCGAGGGTGGGAGTTCTTGGTTTCTCAATAGGGAGGTTGGATGGCACGGGGCTATGGATTGAGATAGGATTGAAGAGCCAATGAAAAAGTGCGAGATCGGCAACAGCTTTAGTATTCACGCGCTTCGCCGTTACGTACTCAACAGCGGTTCCGGAAAACACCAACCCGAGGGAACTTCATAATGTTTTACGCACTGCGAATACTGGAACCTGGCTCTCAGGCCATAATTCCCTGTGGTTTTGTTCATCTTCTACTACTTCTATTCCCAATAAAGATAGGGATCTGAAGAATTTATTACGGCCAGCCAAATCACCCATTTATACACACTGTGCATAGATTGTACGCCTCATTATGGCCGCTGATACGCAGGAAGGTAACACGTGAGTTGGAGGGAAGCGGGTGACCAAGGAGAACATTTCATTGGATATCACTTCGCGTCGCCATTATGAATACAGGTTACGTTATGAAGCCGTCATCACCTCCTCGGTTCTGAGTACTGATCTTAACCTGGAAGCGAACAACCATCAAGACGACGTTACCCGTTTTTATATCACAACTTGGTCATTGGAGCGGCGATATTTTGATCGAGGAATCCAGATCGTTTCGACAATTGAGGGTAACCGGAACGGATACTGCTAGCTCGATCACCACCTTGCCCAGTGATACTGTTTCAGAACTGGTATTCTGGACTTGTTAGCGTGTGTTGTGAACGAGATTTTTCAAAATACATCCTTAGTTTAAATTTGGCGAAGCCTAGAATTACTGTATTAGAGATTGCGCATAAAATTGGAGGCTAGGAATGGAAACTATGTATATCTCTAGATACCCATGCTTCAATACATAAGCTTTATCGAATATAAGTACAACTTCAATTGTGATTCCCGTGTCAATCTATATTGAGATTGTCTTAACTGAAAAGGTACAATGGCGCATACCATAAGTGGAACATGAGAAAGAGACAACGATAGAGTGCCGACAACTTCAATTTCAACTACCGTCGACAGGTCAACTAGTACAAGAGTATTCGAGGCATAGCATGACAATGCCAACCCTTTCGTTGCCAAGTCGAATGGTTCGGAAGATAGTGAGAAAACATGGGATCGTGGACGGAGTCGGTAAGCTTTCATCACTGACATAATACAAAGAATTTTCTTTTCATTTTCTGATATTCAAATTAGGTGGCCCTATGGCACTGGCGTGGGCCCTCCGCCCGCTCAGCTTTATCGATACAAGGATTTCGGGTTTGTTACTTTGGTTAAGCTTTGCTTTGCTCTCCGGGGTAATGGCCGGTCGGCTATATCGATACAAGCACTTCGGGTTTTGCAACTTTGATCAACCCTTGCTTTGCTCTCCAGGATGACAATCATTCAATTGTATCGATATTCAACCTCGACTTTCATCACGTTGTTATATGGATTGAGCCTTGCTTCGCTCTTTAGGATAACAGCTTTTCAGCTATATCAATACCCAACCTCCATTTTTGTTGCACCATCACATGAATGAGCTGTGTTTTTCTTTGTAGAATCATAACTGGTCATCAATATCAACACAAGACTTTGGTTGCAGAGATTGAGATTTGCTTAGCTCTCTGGAGTCATTGGCACTATATCTGTTCAGAAGATCGCTTCTATCCCGGTAACCGTCAATTATGAACCCAATAGAGGAAATAGAGAGAGCAGTTAAGATTCCGAGTCCTACAATCGCCGTCCTCGGTACTGCTTTGGTGGTTCAATACGCAATTCACCGACTTCCTCATCGAATCTATCATCGCATCTTCATCGACCATAACCACAACCGCAATCACTTTGTTACTAGCATCCTTTTTCTAGATGTCACTGCTGCTCCACGCCGCTCAACATAAGAACAGGACTTTGGGTTTCGTCGTAGCGGTTGAGATTTGGTTCGAAGCAATTTACTGGCCATCATCATTCCAGGACTTCGGGGCCCACACATTGATTAGGAAGCACTTGCTGTTTGTTGACTACCAGTGTTCAAATCTATTCGAACAATTTTCTTTTGGAGTTCATTTGAAGAAGACTGTTTGCACCATATTTCCGAACGAGCCAACCTTCAAGTTACATCCCAACGTCTCATTACACCTTAGCAAGCAAGATGTGCTGCTTCAACAGTGCTTCTGATCGAACTACGAAACAGACTGTTAGCATCACAATCACTGCACAAGTTGACACATTCCATTGCTCTCGTCTTCTGCACTTCAGTGGCAAGCTCCCAACTGACAATTCTCACGGTGCATGAAGCCTCAGGGACGTCTCGATATGAGCTAGCAAGCTGTGGTTTAGCTTAAGCTCAAAGACTCGATAAGCATCATCTCAATAGCGCCATTTCCTTGTTAGGTCCACAAGCATACTGTATGCTATTAATGCTACTGTTACTACTGTTACAGTAGCACTCCGATGTAGAGCAGGCCAGTTCTGCACCCCAAATCTACAGCTATCTCGAACGCCCAAGCTCATAGATCCTCACATACTTTTCAGCAGCTGAACGATACTATTCTATTATACACAACACCAAATCATGTACCACCAGAAAGATTTGGATCAGAGGTCGTTCTAGATACAATACGTGCATTCTCTGGGAGTAGATCAACCGATAGACGACGTATACTCTATGGTCAATCTTAGGATCATAACAGTATGTTAAAAAGTTTACCTTTGCTAAGGGGTTCGTTGAAGCATAGCCAGTACTGTTGCCTTTGCAATGTAGCTCGCGGAAACGTTTACCTTTGCCAGGGGACCGTTGAAACACAACCAGGGCTATTTCCTTCTCCGTTGGTTCGATGTAGATCTGTCAACGTATAACATGAGCTTTAATCACTTAGTGGTTTGGCCGGGTTTTATGAACTATTGGTTTGCTACAATACAAAATTAACTTTGGTTTTTTATTTTCTTTACAATTCAATATATTAGATAATCATTTTTAACTTATTTGATTTTAAAATAACTAAAGATATAGGATTTATAATTGGCTTTATATTTATTTGATTTATTAAATCAATTGAATTATTATAAATACTTTCTTTAAAGATTTATAAAATATAATATAAGGTTTTCTAAAGACTTTATTAAAGTATAATAAAAAGCATTACTTCTTAAAATAATCACAAAGCTATATAAAGAAAAGCAGATAATATATCACTCAATCACAAATACCAATAATACACCTACGAGTTTTATACAAACTATATCTACTAACTGATTGTACTCTTAGTAATGGGATGCATCTTGTATTTGCTACTCAGCCATTGGATGTCAACAGCAGGAAGTTTGTTTCAATTTAAAGAGAGGACACAAGCTAATCGATCTAACAATGAGCATGCTGTAGGTGGGAAGAACAAAACATCCATGATTTTCCTTGGTGGCGTTTTGCTTCAAGGTTGAATAGTGCCACAAGTCGCCGCCGATGCTAACACTACGACGTTGATACAAATCAGTCGAACAACCTCAGTGGAGCCGGCTGCCTTCTTCAAATTCTTTAAAGTCAAGATTTTCCTAAATTCAAATCACACAAGTCGAACATGAATCTCTTTCCACGACGTTTCATCTACCTCCAAAACAGATTTGCCAGTGAGCATTGGACATGACTTCTGTTTGCGTTGGATTTGCAGCGCTTGCCAGAGCGATTGGATACTTATGACGCTACCTCGCCCCATTCTTCTGTGGAATTTAGACCAAATTGGACTGTATCATATCGGAACCAGCGGTTTAGCCAAACATGAAAGAAAATCGCCACATCAGAGTTCTCTTACGATATATTGATAGGCCGTCATCCAATCCTTTCACTGACAGAATTCTGGCTTTGGTTTCTACATACATATTCTTTACTTCTAGCTACGTTATATGGCGATCTCGTCACGTAGGATCCCATGATGTGGAGTGTAATGTAAGAACTTTTTGAGCTTTTCGAACTCCCCAATTTATTCTCTTCTACTTTTGCTCTCGTTTCTCAATCAAATATCGAAATAATCACTTCCGGGAGCAATGCTGTAAAAGTCATATCTGGCGGGTTAAAAGCAACATTGAAAGAGATCGTCGTAATACTGGTAGAATCGACGTGATCACCAGTGCTAAAGTGCCACTTGCTAAATAGGTTGATGCTATTACTGGCCTGAAGGTCGAACCAAAACTGCCGACGCCGGTTCCAGAGTTAGCTCCTGAGTTAAGTCTGGAAACATCTTGCCTCGATATGCTCTGCAATCTATGTGCGGGATGCTTGGTGGCCGTGCTGGCTTTTCGTGTTGACGGGCACGGGAGCGGCGAATCTGAATAGAAGCTTCTTAAATGTCGTTTGGATCGTTGTTGAGGTGTGCCCATAGCTTTTGGAGGTCCTTGGGAAGGGTTGACAACCATGGGAGCACCGGTGGCGGTGCAGACACAAAGGGGATATCTTCTGCAGCCCCCCTCGGCCTACCCTCATTACTATATAACTTAGTCGAGCAGAAATACCCCACGTCATACGAAGACTCTCCGTCAAGACCTAGCCATAATGATGTGCAGGGTACGAAGATTGAAACTGGACATCGCATGTTGAGCTGGAGCAGATTGAGCCAGCGAGAAGCGTCTATCGTCACCCAGTGAAGACGGCGACCGTGAAGGATTACGCTTAATCCTGACTCACTAACTGTGGGCTGCTTTCTCACAGCGCCTTACTTTTATCATTATAATGTCTTCTAAACTCGGTGGCTGAATGACAACAATACTTTACGGTACATCTAAACAACTAAAACTCATAACGATGACATCCATGCGTGTTCCTATACCACGACCCCGCTCTATTAGCTATCTTCATATGTGTTAGCGGCTGCAATAACAAAGGACGATACGAGAGGCAGGGATATAATCAAAGGACTATACTCACTTTCCTTCCATTTGTACGAACATACCAGTTCTTAACGAGGACGGTGATGATTGTCATAATATCAAGGGCTCAATGTCGCTGTGAGTATGTAGCGTGTAGCTTTTGCTTCCTCCAAGATTATTCACACACAAGAATAATTGGATCGAAGCGTAATCCTCTTGCTAACTTGTTGTTTTATTTGCGATAGATGATAGGCAACCTGGAGCGACTACATGTCAGCGACTCAGCTTCAACATCCATCTCCGTTTCCAGTTTTGGTTGAGGCAAAACGTCGAACGCATTCCAACTGATTCTCGCGACATCCCGATCAATTCGCTATTCTTTAGTAACCCTCTAGAGAAAACCCTCGCCACTAACCTCCGTCTCCTTGTATGAAGAGATTTTTGTAATCCTTATAAAACTGCCTTTGTCTCTGAGTTTTTGATCGGGGGCTCTGATTGAGAAGGAAGGATAATTTGATTAGGATATGATGGGCGACAATCAACTGGAAGAGGAAGATTGAGTACACACACAGACCAGGATAACAAGAATTCTTCCTTGATTTAAACCGGTCTTTTTTGGCCATGGCAATTTGAGGTCGAGATCTGTGGTAGTGGTATGAGAAAAGGCTATGAAGTTGCTGGGGAGAGCAATTGTTTGTTGAGTTGAACTTTTGGAGGAGATCTTTGGGGTTGTCAGGTCATGTTATTCAAGTTATAGGAATTGGTTAATGGATTGATAAATGAAATATATCTTGGCTTAAAAGACACTATGGAATTCCAAGGAATTATCGATGTGCTTTCTCTCTTGTTGGGCGTAAATTCGGATGCCCACACACATCTATCAATGTTCATTCATTCATCCAAATTTTCCATTCTTGGCTCATCTCGTTTTATGCCCACCACTAACGAAACCCAAAAAACCAATAAACCATCTACCCACTCCCCTATTATTCTGGTACAAATCTACCTTCATCGAAGCCACCCATTGCAATCTACCTCTAACCTCTCCCTGTCCAGGTTTACTATCTCGACCATCGACTAACTCCAAGTAGCCTTCCTCGCGGCCATTGCCATTGCCACTGCTTTATATGCTTTCATTTTTCTTTTCTTTTCTTTTTTTTACTCGGGACAACCAAGTATCTGAACCTAGTATTGGTGTTTACTAAGAGAATAGATAGATGAATGAAGACAACAATAGAATAATACACTTACCAAGAAAAAGTCCTCTTTCTCACACATACATACACCTCCATTCCCTCCATTCTCACGCAAACAACCCCATCCAACCCAAATTAAGCAAACTCACCAACCCCACCGCCAATCCAGTATTAATTCATTACCTAGCTGCCAGCCATCCATCAGCCCCCTAATCACTTCTTAGCGAACAACTAGCCAGCTATTCCGCCACTCGCTAGCCCAAGTCAGTCCGTGAAGTTACCATGTCACACATATCTCTCAAATCGATTTTCTCTACACATCCAAATACACGCACGCATACACATACACATACACATACACATACACATACATACGCATCCACAAACAATCCAACTCTCCACACACCACCACCTCACAATCAATACAGAGTGCAGACCACGTCTCAGCCAACAGAAATCCCGTAACCAGTAACCCCTCAGATCAACCAACCACACTCTCCCAACCCAACCGCATTCCAATGAACAGCAAAAACCATTCCCCATTCCGACCATAAAAGTCCTCGAAACCACCTTTTCTTTCCCCGTGTGTTTCTGTGTCTATGCACAAACACCTAAATCCAAGCACACCCTACACGAATTCATCGCCTTGGATGTGGGCAATCCAGCACCCCCCTTCACCACCATGACCCCATCTGTCTATCCCCCTCAACCCCCCGGAACTATAAAGAATAAGAACCATATCATTAGACTCGCAGCTTAAAGTACACCATGCATCCCTCTCTGTATATTCATTTCCCCCATCCAACAAGACTTATTTCCCCTCTCTTTCTCGAAAGCCAAGCCCAAGTACGATAAACACAGAGGCAAAGGCAAAGGCGAAGGGGATAATCAAGATCAAGACGTAGAAAATACACGTCCACATACAAATCAGAATATTAAAATCTCTCTCATCGTTCGCTCCTAGCCGAAGGGAATAAGTATATTATAAAAAGATTGGCTGTGCATAAACAAACGAATCAAACAATTATTAAAACTATAAACATAAATCAAAAACTGCACAGGCAAAAAAGTACCTTATACCATTCCTATACATAAGCTTTCTGTCCACTCAATAGCTCAAGGACCTCCTATCCATATTCATCCTCACTATGTACGTATAACCTTAACTATCTACTCCTAATTTCTCTGGATGTTCTCCGCTCATGCATGCATCATCATCAATCAAGATTTATTGCTCCCCTCCGACCAAATTAGTACCCTCTCTCAAACCCTCGACGACCAAATCATGTCCCTCAGCCCGGCGATAGATATCCTTAACATCGTCTGTAGTAGTTTCAAAATGGGATGTGGCGTCGTAAGATTTAGAGATAAAGATACGGTCTTTCTCGCCGCTCTCGAGTGGTTCATAGAGAGGAATTGGTGGACCCTGTTTAGTGATTGGTGTTAGTATCGAGGAATTTTGGGCACGCCGAGTGGTGGCACAAGAAGAATTACTTACCATGAACTTCTCCTCAATCTTTCCAAGACGCTCAAGACCTGGCGCAAGTTCCAAATGATGGTTTGAATCGGTCTCAGCAATGGTGGAAACGATGGCGATGTAGTAACCCTTTGGACAAACACTATGGGCGCTGGAAACGACAGCAATGTAGATATCTATAAATATGTCAGTCACAATATCCTAATGCTTTGTGTCTTTGAAAAACATACCGTTCTTGCGTCCTACTTGAGATTGAGGAATGATGAGTTGAGCAGAATCAGCATTATCTGTTCCAGCAAGTGGGTGGTTCAAGATGCAAATAGCCTTCAAGAGTTGACCAACAACGCGAACCTTGTCAGGGAAGTATGATGGGTCTGCGATGATCTTCTTTGTCTTAGTCTCGAAATGCATGGTGGAATCGTTTCCTTGAGCATCCTTCTCGTGCATAGAAGCCTTGATACCGCAGATCTTATCTCCATCATATTTGAACTCATCGATGCTTGCATTAAGCATATAGGTACCACCGTAAATAGCAGACAAACGAGCGAAACCTTGAGGGAGTTCACCGAGACCGTATGCTGGGTAAATGTATGGGGACTTTCCGTAACGGGCGACTGAGTTTCCATACAAACGAATGCGATCGATGGTTGCTGGAGCTGTGCCCTTCTCGTTGATATAGTCATCGGTTTGGTATAAAGCCATAGCATGGCCAAGGAAGTCTCGAGTACCAGTCTCGAGTCCGAATTTGTCGTAAACATCCTTCATGGTGCAGGTGCTCATGTTAAGTCCTTGTTTTTATCAGTAAATTACTGAAAATAGGGGATATTTCAACCATCTTACCCTTGTGAGTAGCAGGATCCGCAGCATCGAATGTGCCAATCCATTCAAGGAAACTCTTCATTCTTCTTTTCTCAAAGATGCCCATTAAAGATGATCTCAAAGCCTCACCAGCATCAGATGGAACCTTTGCAACCATGGCCTTTGGACCAGTACCTTGTTGCACGTAACTTCCAGCCACAGATCTAAACTCAAGATATCTCGTAACATCAGTTGAAACGAGGATGTTTGTGAGTTCACCCGAAGACATCAAAAGCTTTGGTACCAAATCGATATTCCAGTCGTTGGCACGTCCGTACTTCTTCCATGGCTCCTCCCCCTTATTATAGTTTCCATACTTCTTGAAGAGCTATCGTGATTGTCAGAACAGAGCTTCGCAGACCCAAAAATCGTACTCACAGCTTCGATATTGACGGAAGCAGCTTCACTATTGAGAAATTAGCCACTGTTGACTTATCTACCCAGTCTGCGAGCTTGAAACACATACCCTCCATAGTGATCATTTCGATCAATATGCAAGACCTTTTGACCCTTAACACTCAAAACTCTATCCCCAAAACGTCAGTATACAATCTCATCAACCTTTCCCAAATCGACATACCCAGAAAGAACACATTCCGTCAAACCTAGAGTTCAGTATTAGCCATATATCCCCAACAAAAAGCATGAATGCTCCTATCCATGCCCCTCCAGCCAATGCGGGGTTGGACAAGCTTACCAGTGCCCAAAACGACAACATCATATTCGGGGGCGATTTCATCCATCTTGAATTAGAATCTTGATATTTATTAGGTAGTAGGGTTGGTTTGCGAAAAGAAGTAGAAGAAGAAGAATATAGAAAGCTTTCTTGGTGAGGAAAAATCGCAAATGTGGTTATGCTGAAATTGCAAGGGCCAGTTATGGAAATGGTCGGTGATGAGCCGTACAACGTCGTTCTGCTTCACCAATTCTCTTGATTGGCCTCGCTAAAGGGGGAAACTGGAGTACCGCTTTGTTGTTGCTGCTGGTAGATTTTGTCTTGGTGTAATTATGCTCAGGGGCGAATTGTGGAGTTCCTGGTAAATTGTCACGATTGATTTTGGGTCTTGACAAATTGATATATGTATTTGGTACATGGAATCTTTTAATATGAATTTCTAACGGTATTCACTTGTGTTGAAACTTTCACTTGATCCCTTCTACAAAGTACCAAGTAACGAACGGTTCTGCTCACACTGTACCAATCTTTCCAATTGTTCAAGACAAAGATAATCCTTTTTTTTCAGATTCACATAAATGCATAATGCGGCCATAGCTGTACTGCCCCATACGCGTTTCTACTTATACAGATGATGGCTGTAGGAAACCAAATCATTCATGCCAATTGGAGACACCTTTCTTTCCCCCAAACTCATTATTTTTGATCTAGGGGTATGATCCTCTATCATACATCCTCCGTGATTTAAGCCGTAACCTGAGCAGGTTTTGGCTCTGCGTCTCCTTCGGCTTCAGCTAACACATCCTCCTCAATATCTTCCTCAAAATCTCTGGGGGTGTATAATGGTCCTTCGCCCGAAAAGTCAATTTCTGGATCATCCTTCGCGATAACCTCCGCTTCTTGCCACGAATAATATCTTTCAGTCAAAACTTGTTTGATAGCTCTCTGTGTTCTCCGAACCTGTGGTCCCCGAAATTAGCTTTTGTTCTCATTCCTTAAATTTGCGCGGCACATATGCCAAATAGGACATAAACCGAGATAACCACTCACAGTCATATCCCTCTTCTCCGCATCCTCATCACCGTAACCCGCCTCCAATCTCTGTCTCTCGTAACTTTCCGTAGCAATGCGATTCCTCTCCTTACAGCAAATCCACCAAAGTGAATGCAAATCTTCCCAACTTTTCCCCCTCAACTCCTCTGCGCTCCATGGTCTACCATGGCTTCCCTCCTCAGCTGGCGTGCTAAGTGCCTTATCCTTATGTCTGAAAAATTCATATAATCCGTGATTCTCATCAACCTTCACTTTTAATCGTTTCGATTCATCTAGGACTGGTTGAGGTAGTTTTGCATTGGATACGGAGAGGGGTTGACGGGGCCCCGTTCGCCTTTGTGTAGATACTCCGCGCAGACGGTTCATATCCCGGGGATATAAGTATGTGCTGCTGGTAGAGAAGGAGGTGGATTGAGTACATGATGATGTTGTGGAGGAGCTTTGTAGGCAGGGAAGGAGGAACGCTGGCGGGGTATTTGCTGCCTTTCGTAGTTGTAGCAGGCTGCGAGCTACTGGTCGAATAACTGTAGAGGTCGACATCTTATGTTGAAGTTGTCAATGGCGATGCAATCACCAGCTCCAGATTACTTCCTCATCAATCAAGAATCTCGAAAACTCGATAAATTATTTCGGTTACCGTATAAATGTCAGGTGGGGTAAAAAATCAGACCTAAAGTGCAAGTCAACATATATCCAGAATTTATTGCAACCACATGACTTCAGTAACCACCTGTCACACAAAGATCCTTTTAACGGTCTTTCGGGTGTCGCACAAGAAGTTTTGTTGCATATCGGATTTGCGCCCGATGCTTCAATTGAAATGCCCAACCCAAAGTCTCAACATACCATACCGAACCGAGAAATAAGCTGAGGTTATTCTAGGCCCCATCGGCTTTCCCTTTATTCTCCTTTTGTCTAACAATGCATATCATGGCTTCTAATAATCTATGATTGGATTAATATGACATGTGCGACACCACCAATGCTGATCAAAACGGCACAAATGCACTATGCCGATGCCGAATGTATAGTTGCATGTTAGACGCGACACTTGTTTCTCCGGGATAATCATTTATTTCTCAAGTATGAAGCTGCTTGGGATACCTATCAGCCTGAAGCCCTGCTAGTGCGTGGTACGATGGCGATATTCCTGCTGCGACTCGCACAAACAAAGGCATAGATCCGCCCAGAACATCCATATCCTATTGCATGCATGAAATTGAAGTCACAGGAGCTGGATCTAGATTCGTTTGTATATAGCTGTTTTGGTGCTATATTCTACAGTCGTGTCTAGTGTTTGGTATTGGTTTCCAGCGAGCTGGGGATGATCTTTTCTGCAAGACGTCTTGTACTCTGTCGTTCATCATAGTAGCATTGCTTTTGATTGTCTATTGTTCTGATGTTCAAAGGTTAGATCGTGGTCGGTGATAATCCATGGAGGATCAATTTATTGAAGCTAGTCCCAGGGGGGCAGAAAGGACGGGTCATCAAAAAGATACGCTCTATTCAATATCCAATATCCAATAAATAGTCGGTATTTCGATTCGAAAGTTGAACGAGAGCATCGATAAGGTATGAACCTGTTATTCGCTCTATGTTATCTGTGTTTGAATGCAAACTGATATCATTGTCAAGTATTGGACTTCAAATATTTTCAATATATGATTCTTTTCGAGTTATTTGGGGTACTGCTTTTTCATTGATATAGCGGCTATTCAATGACGTTTGATGTTTAAAAGTTATCACATTTATTGTCAACTGGTAGTCTAAAGAGGGTATGATAGAATTCAAGCTAGCATGTAAAGAATGCCAGGATAGTTGTATTATCTCCACATCTGAATGTACGTCTCCGCCTAAGCCTTATGCTCTCCACCGTTCCGAAGCTCCTCTAATGCACACTCAATCTTATCTGGAAGAGTACCCTAAGCAACGCCATGCATGCCAAACAGTAATCAAGAGGGTGACATTCTCGCATGCAATGACCCGGGTATCACAACAATTTGAAAGCCAAAGATCGATCGAAAATTACAAGAGGTAGACCATTCCTGCAGCGGCTGCAGCGAATGCACCTCCTGAGACAAAGTTGGCGGAACCAGCAGCCTTGCTAGTTGCTGAAGCAGCCGCGTCTCCAGTACCAGAAGCCGAAGGAGAACGAGTCGTGGAGCCGCTAAGAGTGCCGTTGGTTGCAGTTCCGTTAGTGAAGGTGCCGCTGGCGAGTGGGGCGATAGCGCTGGTTGCAGATGAGGAATCAGAAGACGCAGTAGTGGCTGCTGCAATAGATGCGAAAGCAACGAGGAAGATGGAAGGCTGCATTTTGAACGTGGAGTGAATTGGTGATGAGAAAGATGGTTGATATTACTTTCGAAGGTTTTCGAGATTAAAAAGCTTGAGCTTGTAGAGTTGTATGAATCAAAACGAAGGTGGTTTGTTTGTTTGTCAGTGAATGTGTTTGCAAAAGAAAGCAGAGAATCGAATGGTTCAAATACTAAGCTTATTTTATTTGTGGCAATAGGAAATTACACAGCCTTGTAAGGGGCACCACTTCTTATCTCGGTAAGATTTATATATAGAACGATCAACAATCTAGAATTCTGGAGGCAGGGTGAATCATGTGACCTAAATTACGAGATATTTAGCATGAAATCCAAGTAAGACAAGGTGAAGCGAAGATCTTCTTGGATGTCAATTAATGTTTGAAACTTCTCCAATCCGCCTCATCTTACATACGAAGACAGCAGAAATAATTGCAAGAGAATACATCTGTTCAACCTATCGGTGGAAATGAACTATTGTTCAATCTAGATTCTAGACCCGAAGTTCAGACTTTATGATCATAGCGGTCATGGCAGACCTATAGTAAAATGTAAAAAGAAATTAAGAGGAGCGAAGCAATGGAACATGTGAAAGAATCAATCGAATCCTTGAAATTACTTCACTTGAAGTTGAAGAGTCTGATCGAAAGCACACTCTCATTTAAAATGTGCTATATTCAGATCGTATCATCCTGCTCAGAGAACAAATATTACCTCGAGTGCACGTTGCAGACAATTTTGGAAATACATTTGTGGCACGAAGTCGCGAGGCGAGGTAGTGGAATATCGAGTATTGATATACACAACTTTTGTCGCACAGTACCGCCTCAACAATGCTTATTCGGACAATACAGTAGCATCCCACTTTTGATGCATTGAAACACGGGCTTTTCCATGCATGACTCGCAAGAAGGTAGGAACGTGGCATTATTGTTATAACAGCAAGACATCGAAGGAAAAAATCACACTGTCACAGTAGCGGAAACGGCGCGCCTGAAGAATAAAAAAATGGGCATGGAAGCGCAGAGAAATGGATCTGACCTCTTTCCTCCCCTGCCTGACAGGTTGACTTGGGAGAGGATCAAGCATAAATCCTTGTAGATCTCGTTTTGGAATGCAACCTGCCAGCCTCTTCCGTTAAATAATGAGTTGTCTGGCAATCTAGTAATCCAATTGTGTATTGGTGAGACTTTTTAGTTCGATCCTTTTGACACGAAGCTCATAATGCAATTTGTTTAGATCCGACCCTGGACTTTCTCTCAGATCAGAATCACCAGATTAACGAATCATAAGCAAAGATGATTAAAACGCTGTGAATGCTGCTGGTGTTATGTACAGGGAAAATACTCCTGTTACACCGCATAATGGATGCTTCGTACGCGGGTCTTCCAGTGCATCAACCCTTTCGAACCTTCTACCAAGCAAGCTTTCAATAGGCGGGATGATGTATCTACTCAACGTATGTACTCCATGTAATCCTTTACAATCACCTGATGTTGTACATTGAGGATTTGATACATAAAATATCTTCAAGTCAGCATGTGGAGGCGAGCGGTGTAAAATTTCCTCGGCGCCATTACCATCGTGTAGTTTGTCAATGGTTCGAAAAGAGCACTTGGGGGGAATGTTGTTGGATAGCAAGGGGTTAAGATTCCCAACCCTCACAACATCGAAGCTAGAGCAGCCAGCCAGCTAGATATTCGATCGCTGGCAGCCACGCACTCGTACGGAGAAAAACTGTTTTTGGAGATTCGAGACTTCCTTTCCGCTCTCAATAAAAGAGCAGCTTATCGCCTGAACCTCGGTAAAGAAAAGTCAAAGTGCGGTATTGCATTGAGAATTTGGGCGGTACACTTCCAATACTGCGATGTAATTGCGCAGGTCACGAGTCGTGAGTCGTGAGTCGTGTTAGAGATTTGCATAGTCGCCATGAGATAAGATCGAGAATATACTTTAGCCTTTAGGTGTTAGTATGACTGCTTTCATTGGTGCAAGGTCCGAAGTTTATCGATACGAAGTTGTTCAATGACTTGGCTTTCTTAGAGGGTATCAGTTTGACGTTTGATCTTTCTGAATAAAATATTATGCGTTCATAGTGTAGAAACCTTGTGAGCTGCAGACTGCAGTAGCACTGAGATATGTAGATAATATCATTGGCATGAGAAGAATTACCAACTGTCTGAAAATTGGAATTGATCCATCATGCTATGATGCCAAATACCAATGGTGATTCGTGAACGGGACGAATTCTGCATGGGTTAAGGACGGATGCACGACCCAGATGAAGCAAAGAACCGAAGTAGAAGCTAGGTTTAACTTTACCCACGCCTGTAAGCAGTTTAGGACCTATCCTGATTCCTGAGTTCTCGCACGGAGTAGTGAGCATGGCCGCCTTGAATGATTGAGCACATCGATAATGCAGTGGTAGCGCCACACAGAAAAGGATAACTTTTCGCTGGAAATCACATCACAAGCCTCTCTCCATTGAGCACATAGCCGCTGTTGTGCTTGGTCGCGGGATGGTTGTTACTTTTATCAATGGCTCAGAGCAATCCGAATAATTCGCGATGATGACGACGACGAAGACGATATTGGTAAGTAATCACATAGATCCCAATTTCGGAATGCTAGGTGACTAGATAGTCAACGTCTTGAGAGTTTGGATAGGTGTGATACCAAGAGAAGTTTAACAGAAGATTGACCAGTGATAATCCGAATCGATAAGAGATCCCGAACTTTTTCACAAATGGATGAAAATAAAAAAGATTACATAGTCCCCTCCCTACCTCGTACCATACCTAGCACATATTATTACTCCGTACCGCCACACCGTTTGTGTGTTTCTTCTAGATGACGCAGCACGCAGTACAACATGCTTGAAATCCATGTCATATCTTTCGGCAAGTGTGCCGGGACTTTTATGAAAAAGCAGCGTGCAGAAACACTCTGTCGGCTGCTTGAGAACCCTGTTAATTAGGTACATAGCAAAACAACAAAATCTTCTGAAAAAAAAAAAAAAAAAAAAAAAAAAAAAAAAACAACTTTATCAACGTTTGAGGTGGAAAAGAAAGGATCGTCAACTTCCCTTTTCCAATTTGTTGTGATTGTGAGGAACCCATGGCCAACTTCTTATTTTCAGTGACCACGGTAACTCGGGATTTCGGAATTTGTGCTCCTATTGGAGAGATCTTCTGGATATAAACTTCGCCCAAAAAAGAAACTTGAGCATTAAAGGAGTACTTTGTAACTTGTAGGGTGTCTGTATCCGGGAAAAGACCTGTCACCAGCCGGACGTGCGGCTTTGGTTGAGTTTCATTGCCTCACGGTCATACTTGGCCGCATAGCATTCGTGGACGAGTGTGCGAAGGCAGCGTGGCTGTTCTGAAAGTGATGAAATGCATCAGGGCCTGAGCTGGCGGTAGCGTGTGAATCGATTGACAAAGTAGGACTTAGTAGGACAATGTTTTGAATGTGTTGTACACAGTACATGATACTGCATTTGGCTTGCTAGGTATTAAGTTGTTTGAGGTAGATGATATCACGGAGTAAACCGTTTCTTGTGTTATCAGATGGTGCGTTGGTGACATGTTATTGAAGAGTGGTAGGTAGCATTGCGAGGTTGACGATGCGAAGAAACTTCGGGATTCACAAATGGATGGTTGGATGCGTCGAGGGATGCGTGACGAAGAGGTTTGGGAAGGTTCAATCTTTATTAGTGGAAGCGGTTTCGAAGCAGCATCGAGCTTCGCGCATCAATGCTGTCGAATCAATCCTGTTTATTGCCTACATAGCTCACATACAAGCGGAAAGCATAACTGCCACCCATAGAAAAGATGATTAACCCAAAAGCATCATGAAAGGATGGCGAGCTGTGAGCAGAACCCAACCTTGCTCGCATGCCGGCCGGTAGATGTAAGCCTCGTAAGTTTGTCGATTCGAGATGAATTAGGAATCAGGAGATAATGCCATTTTCATCTATTCCATCGCCTACGCAGGAAGTTCGGCAAAACTCGAAATGCACAATAGAAGAATTACTCTTGTTCTTTCGGAATTCGAGAATCGAAAGGGTAAACCCAATTGAGTGACCAGGGTACATTTTATTGTCTGGCGACTGCTAAACACCTAGCTGGGTATGGTTAGAAACTTGTGACTTTTTCTAACATGACATAACCCCCTTTACAGGAGAGTTTGGTAAGCGTTCGGTCGTCTACTCATTGCTCAACCAAGTCATGGTACATATACGGTAGATAGTTTTGTACAGTGACAGACAGCATTTGGCCCGGGACCGAAAACATAGCGACTCAAGAGTGATTTCGTCGCTGTCAATGAGACTCGGATGTCGATTTTGGGAAAGTAACTTTGAGAGGGAACCGTTTGTAGACTGCAGTACATACTCCGTACATACTTGCTACGTATTGAGATTTGACATGAGAGTAAAAAGTATCCCGAGCTAGCAAGAATAGGCCATAGTCAGCGGCAATTATTTACGTTCTACGCTGGATCAAGTAGTAAAACACGAACTCTTTACATCACAGAAGCGTATCATGTGGGAAATATCGTGATAGATCGAGCAGCAGCATCTAGATACTAACAAGGTACACACAACTTACAAGATACCGCATTTCCACGAGAAAGCATACGGTACCTAGGTAGCGATAGATGGACACGAGAGTCGATACTACGATCGTAGAGTGACATTAGAACCACCTTCTGCCCACACAAGACGTACTGAATATTTTGCTCTAGAAAGTACTGCTACTCGACGACTAGGTACATGGACATGACAAGAGTTTTGGAAGCCGACATCCAAACTCTAACCCGTCCGCAGTACCTCTGTCTGTCGCTACCTTGTCCTGTCTACTCGATCGTGCTTGCCATGTCAATGCTTTGTTAAGCTAATGCATTTTCTCGCTCTCAACCATCATCCCATCCTCACCGTTATAAATCCAAACTATTCTATTTCAATCCATGAACGCGAAGGAATATTCATTGGCAATCCCT